CCAACCTCCTGCTGATTGTGGTTATCTGTGTGAACAGAAGCTTACATGAACCTATGTACATGTTTCTGTGCAGCCTGTTTGTAAATGAACTGTATGGTAGTACAGGGTTGTTTCCATTGCTGCTGCTTCAGATCCTCTCTGACATTCACACTGTCTCTGCTTCAGCTTGTTTCCTGCAGATTTATTGGGTTCATTTCTACGGCAGTGTCGAGTTTTTTACCTTGGGAGTCATGTCTTATGACAGGTACCTGGCTATCTGTCATCCTCTGCAATATCAGACACGTATGACGACTGCCAGAGTCGCAGTCCTCACTGCGTTCATGTGGTTGTACAGTGTCCTCACAACTGTTGTCATGATGTCTCTGAGCGTCCCTCTGCAGCTGTGTGGGAACACTATTCAGAAAGTTTACTGTGACAACTACTCCATCGTTAAGCTGGCGTGCTTCGACACCACGGTCAATAACATCTATGGGATGGTTTACATGTTCACTGTGATAGTAACTCTTATCATTCTGATCCTCTACACGTACATCAGGATCCTTTACGTCTGTTTCTCTGGCTGTAAACAGACGAGACAGAAAGCCGTCAGCACCTGCATGCCTCACCTCGCCTCTCTGCTCAACTTCTCCTTCGGGGCTTTCTTTGAAATAATGCAGGGCAGGTTTGATATGAGCAGTGTGCCCATCATGCTGCGCATCTTTTTGTCTTTATACTGGCTCACGTGTCAGCCGCTCTTTAACCCTGTACTGTACGGACTGAACATGTCCAAGATACGTGTCATATGTAAAAGTCTGGCTTTTGGTAAAAGAATATAAAACTACTGCAAGAAACAGGAACAAACAAAAAAGTGATGCCGCTGATGTTAACACTGTGTGTCATGTGTGTATAAACTGTGTGTATAAACTGTGTGTATAAACTGTGTCCCTACTGATGTGAAATTAAACAAGTAGTTAAAGTTGACCTTCGTCTCATGTCAAATATCTGAGTTCAGTTTTTATTCATTAACAGAGGATTAAACAATCAGTCTGCAGCAGGTGGCCGGAGTTAAACCTGCAGCAGAGACACAGCCTGTGTGTGTGTGGCGCCTGCTTAACAATATTTATAAGGTAACATCATTAATAAATAAACTATCCATAAGTAAACATCAACAGATGCATTATTAACAATAATATTTTCACATGATTAAAAACATTATTAAGAAGTTATTATTAAAACTGAACATTATTAAAAAGTAAACTATTAACGTGTGAACATTAACACACAGCAATAAAAACACTGAGCATCAGCTGAGACCAGAGACATCACAGTGTGAAATACAATTAATACTAACATTGATTAAACATAGAGTTTGAAAGGAGGACACTGAGCTGTGGGGCTCCAACACAAACTGACCGCTGTCCTTTTGTAACCAGGTGAGCTGAGGGGACAGAGAGGAGGGTCGTACCTGAGGAGCGCAGGCAGCAGCTGGGCTCACAGGGTGGAAGTAAATGTATGATGTGTGTAGGAGCGAGGTCATGGAGGGCTTTAAAAGTTATTAGTTAAAGTTCAAAATCACTTCTAACCCTAACAGGTAGCCAGTGTAGCGTTGCAGGGTGGGAGTGAGGTGGTCGTGTCTCTTGGAGTCAGTTAAAAGTCTGGCAGCTGAGTTTTGAACGAGCTGGAGACAGGAAATGGCTCCTGGGCTGAGCCCTGAACACAGGAAGCTACAGTGAAAACATGGACGACTTCTTCAAGATTCTCAAGTGTTCCCGAGGCTGGTTTTAAAGTCAGAGGTCAGGTTTAGGGACCAAAAAATGATTTGTTGTTTGTCTTTGAAAAGGTAAGATTAAAAACAGCAGTGACCCACCTGAGCCCGTGACTGCACCTGAGCACGTGACTGCACCTGAGCCCGTGACTGCACCTGAGTCTCCTGCGGTCACTATCCCACTTGAATCCCATCAAATCATTTTCGCTGACCCTCAACCAGCAAGTGTCTCAGAGTCACACACGATTTAGTTCAGTGACAGATGGATCAGGACTTTACTCCCGCTCCACCTACACACCCGTCCATTGTTTTAGGTTCAAAGGGCCTCAGTTACTGGTTCGAACCAGGAACACTCTTGCTGCGAGGCAACAATGCTGCCCACTGCACCACCGTTTCCAGAGCTCTGCTGTCATGGCTCTGCAGGAGGCCAGTGAAGCTTTGAGCACACCAACCTGTGCACCATCCACACCAACAGGGTCACCGTGGTGCCCAAAGACATCCAGCTGGCCCGATGCGTGCGGGCGTACTTTTCACCATCTTATCGGTTCAGCTGTAAAGAATTAAAGAATGTGGAGAAATGGGTTTTATGATTTTTGACTTTTCTGCATTGAGACATAATTTTAAAGAGAGAATGACACAGCAAAGAATTAGAGGTGAGGGAAAACATAATAAGGCAGAGTATGGCCATATTTTGTGTGGCGATGTGTCAAACTTTTATTATAAACGTCATTAATGTTGTAAACACGCCATTTAATCCATCTTTGGTACGAGTATAATAAAATCGGTTCTTTTTCAGTCCACTAGATGGTGCTCATGTTTTTTTTCCTGGTGAGGTCAGCAGAGGTCTCAGTGAGCGCCATGTGGCAGGAAGTTCATCAAAACTAAGATGGAGGCACAGGAGAGAGAAGTCAGACCATCAAACGTCTGGATTTATTTTGGATGTTTTACCACAGAAGGAAAGGAGGACTTGGATATGACACGTGAGAATAAAATACTCTGGGAATACTATGAACATGACGACTGACCTCACAGGCCACCATCCAGAGATAGTGTTAGCAGCTAACAGCAGAGCTAACGCTAAAAATCACCACTGGACACTCGACACAGCTACCTAACTATACACAGTCCATCACCTACTTCCTGTTCAAACACCTGCGTCCATGCAGCGCTGTTGGAAACCAAGGCTCTTGTTACAGGCTAAAAGCAGGTGAACCCAGGTATGTGACTCCGCCCCCTCACAGCCGTACCCAAGCTCTACAGAGAAGCGAAGCATGAAGCTGAGGAACCTTTGAGTACAGCAGGAAGAGTGGAGTTAACCTGTGACGCCTGGACTGCAAGCTCAGAGGATTCATATGTGACTATAACAGGACTGATCTGACAGAGGACAGGAGACGCTGTCTCACGTCCTCCAAACTAGAGCTGGACATTATCTGACAGAGGACAGGAGACGCTGTCTCATGTCCTCCGAACTAGAGCGGGACATTATCTGACAGAGGACAGGAGACGCGTCCTCCTAACTAGAGCGGGACATTATCTGACAGAGGACAGGAGGCGCGTCCTCCTAACTAGAGCTGGACATTATCTGACAGAGGACAGGAGACGCGTCCTCCAAACTAGAGCGGGACATTATCTGACAGAGGACAAGAGACGCTTCAAAAGACCCTTCATGATGGATACAAACAAGGACACGTGTACCCGGCCCGGAGGGTTAACGGGGCCCCGCCCTGGAGCCAGGCCTGGGGTTGGGGCCCGTGGGTGAGCGCCTGGTGGTCGGGCCTTTGCCCATGGGGTCCAGCCGGGCCCAGCCCGAACCGGCTACATGGGCTCGTCCCCCTGCAGGCCCACCACCCGCAGAGGGATCCAGAAGGGTTCGGTGCAATGTGGATTGGGCAGCAGACCAAGGCGGGGGCCTTGGCGGTCCAGTCCTCGGTTACAGAAGTTGGCTCTTGGGACATGGAATGTCACCTCTCTGGCGGGGAAGGAGCCGGAGCTTGTGGAAGAGGTTGAGCGCTACCGGCTATATATAGTCGGCCTCACCTCGACACATAGTTCCGGCTCTGCAACCCAAGTCCTTGAGAGGGGTTGGACTCTCTCCTTCGCTGGAGTTGCTCCGGGTGAGAGGCGGAGGGCTGGGGTGTGCTTTCTGATAGCCCCCAGACTCTCTGCCTGTACGTTGGGGTTTACCCCGGTAGACGAAAGGGTTGCTTCCCTGCGCCTTCGGGTCGGGGAACGGGTCCTGACTGTTGTCTGTGCTTATGCACCGAACAACAGTTCAGAGTACCCACCCTTTTTGGAGTCCCTGGGACGGGTGCTGGACAGTGCCCCGACCGGG